ACTTTATCATGTCATTCACTTGAAATAGTCACTTTAACATACGTGACACTATACTTTCTTATGTCATTTACTTGAAATAGTCACTTTAAAATACGTGACACTATACCTTATTATATCATTTACTTGAAATAGTCACTTTAAACATACGTGAAACTATACTTTATCATGTCATTCACTTGAAATAGTCACTTTAACATACGTGACACTATACCTTATTATGTCATTTACTTGAAATAGTCACTTTAAACATACGTGAAACTATACCTTATCATGTCATTTACTTGAAATAGTCACTTTAAACTACGTGAAACTATACTTTATTATGTCATTTACTTGAAATAGTCACTTTAAACTACGTGAAACTATACTTTATTATATCATTTACTTGAAATAGTCACTTTAACATACGTGACACTATACCTTATTATGTCATTCACTTGAAATAGTCACTTTAAACTACGTGAAACTATACTTCATCGAGTTTATTTCAAGTAGTCATGTTAAACTACCTAAGACTTATATTTTCACGATAAATTTTGTGGCATCGTACTTTATTACGTTGTTTCATTCGAAATAGTAACGTTTGCTTTACGATACCGTGACGAATAACAGTCACTCGATAACTGTTACTACACAGGTTACACACAAACACTTAACACGACATTCCTATTGTGCACAGAAGCAGTCTGATACTTTTTGTTTGTATTATTTTTTTTACAATAAATGTCAAAAGCGCCTTTAGATGTCGCTGTTGGTTTAAGTAACATACCTTGTTTTTACCAACTATTTCATCCTCTGACTGTTGTCACTTCAAGCAATTATCGTATGTGACCAATTTTTTAGGCTATAATTTAGTGGTCGAGTTTTACACGTCTAATAACGAGATGTTCAATAAAGAGCCTACAAAGCATTAGACAAAACCACAATTGATACAAGAGACAATAAACAACAACAAAAAACTAATTTAAAATTTGATTTACAAAAATGGGGAACTTTTTAAGTTAGTTAAGGTTAGATTAGGTAAAATAAATACTAATCTAATAGAAATTTTTCACGAGGTACGCTCGCGAAAAGTTCTTGCGTAGTGTAATTCGATGGCGTAACGTGAGCTGTACGTTCGCCAATGATTTATGACTTATAATGGCGCGAATAGCAGTTAGGCACGGTTCAAAGGGCAATGAATTTTAAGTATAAATAGATGTGTATTATTACGAATTTAAAGCTATTTAGGATAAACAAAATGTAGTTTCATGTTCCCATTTGAAGTTATTCTAGTTATAGTATTAAAACTATAAAAATAGTCCCTGGTAGAGTTAAGTGTTTTCACAAGTTTTTGGTTAGAGGTTGCCGGGCAAAAGAAGGTCGACTTTTACACGAGATACATATAATATTTTGGGTCCGATAGCATATTGTTGGATACGTGGGTTTTACTTTTAATCAGATTTATATAAACTGACTAATTAGATTAAAAGGTAACGATTCAACCAAATGTATTAAAGCATTCCCAACGCTATTAAAATGAGGTTAAAACAAAAAGAACTGTTGAAAACGATTGTAAAACAAACAAAAAACGTAAGCCTAAGTTACAGAACCTTTGATTCGTGATGTAAGCATCACATCTCATTCACGGTAATTTCGCGCGTGCTCACAATAAAGGGTTTTGTATCAGGTTCTAGATGCTTATGATTATGAGTAGCCCTGGCACCATTTTCTACCATTGTAAAGTTGTTCATGTTTTCTAATTTCACAAGTAACTAAGAGTGATCAGAGACACCAAGGAGGGATGCTCCAGGACAAGTAACTAATACTGAGCAGAGACGCCAATGAGGGATGCTCCAGGGACAAGTAATTAACACTGATCAGAGACACCAAGGAGGGATGCTCCAGGACAAGTAACTAATACTGAGCAGAGACGCCAATGAGGGATGCTCCAGGGACAAGTAATTAACACTGATCAGAGACACCAAGGAGGGATGCTCTAGGACAAGTAAGTAACACTGAGCAAAGACACCAAGGAGAGATGCTCCAGAACAAGTAACTAATACTTAGCAAAGACACAACTCCAGGACAAGTAAGTAATACTGAGCAGAGACACCAAGGAGGAATGCTCTAGGGACAAGTAATTAACACTGAGCAGAGACACCAAAGAGGGATGCTCTAGGGACAAGTAATTAACACTGAGCAGAGACACCAAAGAGGGATGCTCCAGGGACAAGTAACTAACACTGAGCAGAGACACCAAGGAAGGATGCTCCATGGACAAGTAACTAATACTTAGCAAAGACACAACTCCAGGGACAAGTAATTAACACTAATCAGAGACACCAACGAGGAATGCTCCAGGGACAAGTAATTAACACTGAGCAGAGACACCAAGGAGGAATGCTCCAGGACAAGTAATTAACACTGAGCAGAGACACCAAAGAGGGATGCTCCAGGACAAGTAAGTAATACTGAGCAGAGACACCAAGGAGGAATGCTCCAGGGACAAGTAATTAACACTAATCAGAGACACCAACGAGGAATGCTCCAGGACAAGTAAGTAATACTGACCAGAGACACCAAGTAGGGATGCTCCAGGGACAAGTAACTAACACTGATCAGAGACACCAAGGAGGGATACTCCAGGGACAAGTAACTAAAACTGATCAGAGACACCAACGAGGGATGCTCCAGGGACAAGTAACTAATACTGATCAGAGACACCAACGAGGGATACTCCAGGGGCAAGTAACTAAAACTGATCAGAGACACCAACGAGGGATGCTCCAGGGACAAGTAACTAATACTGATCAGAGACAACAACGAGGGATGCTCCAAGGACAAGTAACTAAGACTGATCAGAGACACCAACGGGGGATACTCCAGGGGCAAGTAACTAAAACTGATCAGAGACACCAACGAGGGATGCTCCAGGGACAAGTAACTAACACTGATCAGAGACGCCAATGAGGGATGCTCCAGGGACAAGTAACTAACACTGAGCAGAGACACCAACGAGGGATGCTCCAGGGACAAATAACTAACACTGATCAGAGACACCAACGAGGGATGCTCTAGGGACAAGTAACTAAGACTGATCAGAGACACCAACGAGGGATACTTCAAGGACAAGTAAGTAATACTGAGCAGAGACACCAACGAGGGATGCTCCAGGGACAAGTAATTAACACTGATCAGAGACACCAACGAGGGATACTCCAAGGACAAGTAACTAACACTGATCAGAGACACCAACGAGGGATGCTCTAGGAACAAGTAACTAAGACTGATCAGAGACGCCAATGAGGATGCTCAGGCGCAAGTTTTCTTTTTTTCAAGACAAGGTAACTGGCATGGGAAAAGATTCTTAAGCCTACATATTATGTCCTTTTCCCGTGTTGGGGATCTCACATACTCGGCGTGTGTGAAAGGATTCGTTTACTGACTGATCGCCATATTTGAAAATCTTAATGAATAAAATTCCATAGCCAGATAACTAATACTCACACTCTTCCAAGATTATCCAGTTTACAGTCTTCTGATGAACTGGAGAATATTGGAAACTCGTAAATCTTCCAGCGAAATAATCCGTTATAATTTCCACGTTTGAGTTGAATGCGGACGGTGACACCAGTTTTGATGGGCTCCGAGAAAAATTCCACATTTCCTTTCACTCCTCCTGTGTTTAGGATAGCCACAAGACTGCCCTCTCTTGTTTGATTCTCTCGTCCCTCTGTTGAAGTAGGGAAAAAAAAAGGCTTAGCTTATGGTAAGAAGCAAAAAGGCTTAGCTTATGATATCCGGAAGCCTAGAAATGTGATTATATAGAAAAATTATTATACCTCAAAACAATTATATTATAAAAACATTGAAAATCATAAGTTTTATTCAAGAAACGTTTCACACGGTCAATGGCGTAGCAAGAGGGGGCAGTCGCCCCCGGGCGCAGGTGTGAAAATTTCTTCTGGACTAAA